CTCCATCGTCGTCGATTGGGGCATCGGGTTCGCCTTCTCCTGGCGTTGTGCTCTCACTGCCATTCAGCAGGCTGGAGAAGTGTTCCCCCCATAATTTAAGTATGCTCTGGGCATCGGTGACTAGATCACCTTTGGGGGTTCTACAAGAGTACATGAATATAAGGCAATATAATTTGAGAAACTCTTACTTAACCTTTCAGCCCGAAAGAGGGTTCCATAAGTTTTAATACATAGAAATCCAATATTTTCCCCTTAGTAATAGTTTAGTAATCTATATCTATCGTTTTAAAATCGTCTGTTAACAATTAGACCGTCTAAAGGAAACATTCGGCCAGAAGCATATTATTTGGTCAATAAGGATGGAATTGTGTTTCACTAGGACAAGATCAAGCCAAAAGCTTAAACTGCTTGGTTACACGGTTTTTATGTATTCTCCTTGTAGACCAAATCTAGCATCAAGTGATTACTATCTATGAAAACTTATGGCGGCTGATTTTGCCAGTGAAGAATTTGGCTCAAAAAAACTTGCAATAATCCACTGACATGATGAGATTACCGTCGGAAAACGGTTGGTTTTTTCTCTTTTTGAAATATGGAAAAATCTTTAATCTTTTTATAAATATCCGTATCCTATATATCGGGTCCATTAGGGTTGATGTGATTTCTAAGTGTGTTTTCCGCCATTTTTCTTTTTTTCATTCTTTAAATAATGTTCAAGTGCCCATAAGAAAAAAACTGTTCGTAGTAATGGAAATATTGACTGCAATTTTTCGACTCCAAGTAGGACTATCTCAAACCACAACCAGTCGTATTTTGAGAAAGGATTTGTTGTTACACCCATTTAAATTGTTCTCATTCAAGAATTGAAGCCATTGGAGCCATTCAAGAATTGAAGCCACCGTAAACTTCGGGAAGTTGCTGATATTGTCTTGGAACGATTTGAAAACAATAAGGATGTTTTTTAAGAAGATTATCTTCTCCGATGAAACTGACCTTCATCTGAGTGGTGCGTGGAATAAACAAAACTGTCGATTCTGGTGCGTAGAAAATCCACAAATTATTCTCGAACAATCATTACATTCACCCAAATTGACAGTTTGGTGTGCTTTTTGGTATGGTAGAATCATCGATCGCTACTTCTTTCAAAATGAAGCTGGTAACACCTTTACTATCAATAGAGAGCGGTATAGAACGATGATCACCAACCCTTTATTGCGGCTATTGAAGAAGTTGATCTTGACAACATCTGGTTCCAACAAGACTTGTTTTATCTTAAGAAATAAAATTTAAAAATTTTTTTTTAACAAATTTTAAATCGTTGCTATTTTTGTTTCTGTAACCGTACAGTTTTAGATCACGACGCTTAAAAAATTGTCTTGCCTCTTATTTCTCTGTTAATGCCGCTCATATGCAAATTGCACAACTCATTTGGATGCGAAGAGGGTAATCGTTAGGTAATAATAATTATCATTGCCTTTTGAGATTAAGAAGAGCACTCTGCCGGGCCAATTTTTCAGCATAGTCACCATCGACCATTGGCTTGACATACTCCCATACAAGGTAGTTTAATGGATTTCATCACTTTGGTTATAATAGTTCAACCGAATAAAGTAATGATTTCAGTCACACTGTGTTGACATCGCCCAAACATTTAGCGCTTATTTTATTTATTTTTTCGAATTTATGTTTCTGTTGCTACGTTTTAAAACGGCATTCGATGAATTACATAGAATAATTTCTGAGAATTTTGTTCGATATTTCCACCAGAACGAGCTTTAGTAGTGTGAATTTAAAGGAATATTRTAAATATAGCACAACAAGTATTTTTATTATTGGGTAGTAGAAAAAGTCTTTTCGTATTTCTAATCAAATATCAACTTATTATTATTTTTTTATTTATACCAATAAATAAATAACAAAATATGTTCTATTTGGTCGACGAATTTTTATCATTTTGTCGCTAGAAACATTATTCCATCAGTGTAAAACTTTCATAAGTGTAAATCGAATTTCCAGAATGGAAGCCAGCAAACCATTTTTGTGCTACACGAACTGATACGAAGATGAAAAAAGTATGCGCTCGTCAGCCTAACCTTGTGTTCATTTAAAGCAGATTGTAAGTGTCAACATGAACGCACTCAGCCAGCTATATATGTAAATTCATATATAATATTTATATTTATATCTGAGGAATATTCACTTATCCGTCATTGTCTTTATTTTCAAATGTCACGTATACGCCATGCGTGCCCAAGTGCTTTTAAGGCGAACAAATCGGCTTAGTACCTGCTTTTCGCAATATGTGTGTGTATTTTTGCAGAATTTATTATTATTTTTTTTTTATATTTTTTGGGCACAAGGTGAGACTCTCAATTAAGATTGTACAATGAGATAAGCGTTTTTTAATTTGTGAGAGCGCAGAACACAAACACTGTTGGACCTACACTTGTGCTCACACAATTAAGCCACATAAAATCGGAAAAAAAAGTTTCACAAAATTAAAAGAAAGTACTTAAACTTTATTGTACTTATAGTTTTTTAAAGGTAAATTTTAATGTAAAAGCAAAAATCTGTTTTCTTCTTCATTGGTATGTATTTTTCGTGCTCATATAATTAAGCTTGCCT